GAAGATAAGGTGCATTAGGATCAGCCGGAGACACAAAGGTGTCTTCAGTACACAGCATGAATGGCATCAAGATTCCTCCCTTCACCATTCCCTTATACATAATAGATTTACCTCCCAGAGGAAAAGGAGTTACCTTAGAGTATCATCACAGCATGCATTGTGTGTGCATGTGTGTTCAATTTTGAGTTACAGAACAGCTGCTACTTCTAGTTTCAATTGTACTAGAGGAAAGAAAAATATTGCCAGAACAAAATATCACAGAGGGAGAATGCTGATTGTTTCTGAAGAATTTCAAAGCAGAAAGTTTTCTATTACCAAGCTGCTTGCCTGCTATATTCTACAGCGGGTGGAGAGAACATTCCCAGGGACCTTAGACTTATAGCTCCAAAAAAGATTCTGAAGCAATGAAGATACAGTCGGGTAACAGTAGAGGTCATGTCCAAAATGGTACATTCTCTTCAAACTACCTGTATTTCAAGCTGGCTTGCTATATTTCTCCTAGGAGGCGATTCCCACTGGAAATGTTTAGTGTCCCAACTGGATGGATAACTTTCAAATGACAATTAAAAACATTTTGTTGGGGGGGGAGGCTTTTGCCCCATTAATTCAATGGCAAGCCCATTTCTGGAGAGACTGAGACAGATCAGAACATACCACGGTGGACCATCACAGATACATGCCACAAGTTCTGCTGGAAGAATATCACAGGGTTGCGCACGCACGCGCACACACTCTGCTTTGACAGTTTATTTTTCATAAAAAGTTGTTCCATAAGCAATCCTGGAATTTAAAAAAACTGCTCTTTCAAGTGAAAAATGGCATCCTAAAACTCTGTCTTTAATCCTGTGTGAACTATAGGTACATCCCTTCTGCAACTTGTGTTCTTCCCAAGAAGTCACAGAATTTTTGCCACTATGGCGATGTCTACACTATGGGGGTTCCTGTCCAGGAACACTTCTGCTTTTTTTTTTGCAGAAGAGCAGAGGCGCTCTTTCAGAAGCCCTGTCTTCCTCCTCCCACAAGGAAGGGTTCTTCCGAAAAAGGAGGCTTTTCTGAAATTTGGCCCAGTGTAGACAGGCCAAATTTCAGAAAAGCCTCTTCCGAAAAAACTAACAGGAAAAAGATAAGCAAATTACAGAGTGCAATTTGCATATCTTTTTCCGACAGATCAGTGTAATGTAGACATAGCCTAAGAGAGCCCCTGAAAAAGCTTTTTTGTCTTTTTTTAAATATTTGTACAATCACCTTTTATCAAAAAGCTTTTGGTTTCTTGTTTGCAGCTAGGCTGTGTCTACACTGGCAAGTTTTTCTGGAAAATCATCTGATTTTGCGGAAAAACTTGCCAGCTGTCTACACTGGCCGCTTGAATTTCCGCAACAGCACTGACGATCTTATGTAAAATTATCAGTGCTTTTCCGGTCGCTTGAATTTCCGCAAAAGCACTGACATCTTATGTAAAATTGTCAGTGCTTTTCCGGAAAAACTATGCTGCTCCCGTTCGGGCCAAAGTCTTTTTCCAAAAGACTTTTGCCCGAAAGGGCCAGTGTAGACAGCATAGTTCTGTTTTCCGCAAAAAAAGCCCCAATCGCGAAAATGGCGATCAGGGCTTTTTTGTGGAAAAGCGCGCCTAGATTGGCCACAGATGCTTTTCCGCAAAAGTGTCTTGCCCATCTAGACGCGCTTTTCCGAAAATGCTTTTAACGGAAAACTTTTCCGTTAAAGCATTTCCGGAAAATCATGCCAATATATATGTAGCCCTAAAGTAATGAGTCAATTTTCCGTTAAAAGCATTTCCGGAAAATCATGCCAATATAGACGTAGCCCTAAAGTAATGAGTCAGAGGACAAGCAATATAGATTTACATCAGTGCTCTAGTGAAGTCTTTTTAATATTTGAAATGCTTAGTACATTTTACTTTGTTTCTCCTGACACACTTAAACAGCCTTATTACCCCTTACTCCGCACACACCACTTTCTGCCCTCCCACTCCTGTGAAGCTTCTATGTAGAGTTGGCCCCTTTCTCTTCAGCACAAGGTGGTTTCTTTCAGGTTTTTGTGTTAAGGTCTTAATAGCAGCCTTGAAAGTACCTGTGCATTGCTGTGTTCACAGTACCCTCTAGTGATGATTCTAATATATTTTATAGGAAGGCTCCTCTTTGCTCCACAGTGCTAAACAAGGCCATATCTACACTACAAGGAAAAGATGGGAAAAGATACACAAATTGCAAACCACAACTTACGTATCTTTTTCTGCTTTTCTTCCGAACAAGGCTTTTCCAACATTTGGCCCATCTACACAGGGCCAAAGGTCAGAAAACCCCCCTTTCAGAACATCCCTTCTTCCTCGCAGAACGAGGCTTACAGGGATGCCAAAAAACACATCTGCTTTTCCGAAATTTTATAACAGCCATTATTCCAAAATAACTATGCAAGCATCTACACAGCCATTCCATTATTTCGAAATAATTTCAAAACAACAGATGGCTTATTCCAACTTCTATAAACCTCATTCAACGAAGAATAACCCCTATTCCAAAATAGGTATTTTGAAATAAAGCGCGTGTAAAGGCTCTACTTCTGCTATTTCGAAATAGACCCGCACCAGGGTCATTCCAAGTGATTCCTCCTGGGGTTCTAAATCGAGAGCACATCTCCATAGGGAAGCCTGCTCCAGACTAATAGAATAGACATGCTATTTCAAAATAAGCTATTTTGGAATAACTGTTCCAGAATAGCTTATACCAAAGTAACTGTGCAGTGTAGACATAGGCTAATTGATTAAAGGCAACACCCATTACCTTCCAGTATAGATTTCCCCCCATCTTAATGGCTTTATGCCATTTCTTATGTACCTGTCTATTCACAGATGTCCCTTTTTTGAGCCTGAACCTTCATAGCCTTCCTTAAAGCCTATAGAAACATAGCACTTTCTAATCTCCATAAGCGACCCTAAGGCCAAAGTTAACAGCAGTAGGATTGTTGGAACTGCCTAAGCAGCACCGGGGCCCAAATAAAACAGGACCTTATTTTGATATGCACTAAGAAGCAGGATTTTAAGACTTCCTTTTCACTCATCTTTCACCCTCTAGCGTTTTCCACTCTCCCGCCTTATTAAAACACTTCTGACGACACAATATATCACTGCCACCTTCCGTTATACTTGTCTCCCCTGCTGGCTAGGGCTTTTTCCTCACTCCAATCATTTTTTTCAACGATTATTTAAAAAATAATACAATTATGGGGCAACATTTGGAAGCAATAATGCTATCACGCAATAAGGCCAGCCCTGTGCCACAAGAGTGTTCAAGCACCTGTCACTGAAATCCAGGGAAAATAGAAGCCTAAAAATCTGGCAGTCAGCCTGAGCTTTGTTGGGGTTAGGTTCTCAGACCCTAACATGAATTTACAGGGAAAAAAAAAAAAGCCGTTCTTGTGAAGCGAGTCACATTTGCATGGAAAGTCATTGACACCCTGACTAGCCTGAGGATGCTACACTCTAGACCCCCAATGCATATCACATTTTGCTTAAGTTGTCAGAACATAGGCAGTAGAGTGCAAGATTAGCCAGTCAAGGCTAGTGCCTTGATCTCATTGTGAAATATGACATGCAAGGCACTCCCATTAAGTCTGCAAGTCTATAACTGAGTATCCTCTAACACTTCCCTACAGTAGTTCTTTCCAAATCACTATTCCTAAGTAACTCCATGCATGGCAAAATGAGTGCATTATCCTAATCAGGAGCATCCAGCCCTGGAGTTAATCAAAACCAGTTATTGTGGAGCAGTTACAGTAAGTAATCCCCCCCTCCCGCCCTCCCCAAAAAAGCCACAGCTTCTGGCACCTGTTTGAACTTACAGCTAATCTTTCTCCCTATTCACTGTAACGGCTGTAACTTTTTAAAATGGGACAACTCCTCAGCATTCTACCCATGAAAAACTAACTTTCAGAAGGTTCTCTTATGAACTCCCATAATTAAGCCATTTTACAATTGGGGAAACTGAGGCCCAGAGGCTCCCCTGTGATTTCAGCAAAACAATACCGAGGAGCCAATCAGTGGTTGACTTGGACGGGGTGGTGAACAGGACTTGCTGTGTAAAGGGCCAACCATCTGTTTATTGTACACAGGGGTATTTTCCATTATTCCCACAATATATTGTAAACAAGACTGCAAGGAGACAAATTACTTCATTTTTTAGAGAAGCCCAAGGCTTCTAAACTTCACTGCAGAGAACTCAAAAGGAGTTTAACATGCAGCTAACTTTGAGAAGACTGCCCCTATTCTCCATCCTCTTCCTATGCGGGGCAATTTCACCATGCACATTGAGAGTTAGCTCTAAAAGCATGAAAACAGCCCCTTTTTCTACACTACAAGCTGTAGGAAATCCTTTATTCTGAGTGTTTTGACTCATGTTTCCCAAAGCCAAAGGGTTTGCGAGTGCAATTACCAGATAAAAGACAAGTTAAATTTCTGACACATAAAAGTTGACTTACCTTCTAGATTTTAAATAACCTTTAACACTCACTTCTGGCTCACCAGAACCCAATTCAGTGCTTTTACTGTATGTATGTATTTTGTCCAAGTTCAGTGGGATTATGGCAATATTCCCCTACCTCTCAAAACAGCTAAGTGTCTTTGCTGCAGCAACATGTTTGTGCCTCAGTTTTGTGGTTCTTAGGATAGAAACCCATGTATTGATACTAGAAGTCCATTATGTATTTATACAGGAGGTACAAGAGAGTCTGGTTACGGTTTTAGTAAAAACAGCTCTGACCTCATTGATAAGTCCCCACCTCACATACTTCTAGTTTGCTTAACAGGGAAGTCTAAAAAGATGGTTCTGAATTCTTTCATTGACTTCCATGGGTGCAAGAATGTCATGATTTGCCAATACAGTGATCTGTATATTTGTTTAATATGTTCACCTGAGTATAAATGAAAGTATCTGAACACCTATTAATAAAATCCAGCACTTGCTAATAAATGAACATTGCTTGCAAAGTTCTAGCCCACGGATGAAGTTTTATTGCTTATCACATACAACGCTTTGTAAGTTTCTCAGCTTTCAAAAAATGTGAAATATAGACCACTAAGTGCTTTGGTCTAGTTCCTATTGTGTCCAAATATTTCAAATTGATTCATGAACAACTATCTTCAAGTAGAAATTTAAGCTGTAAAATAAGTCTCAGCATTATCTGAAAAGAATTATTAATATAATATGAACAAGGTACTGGAACTGAACAATCCTGTATCTTTGACATTAAGTTTATAAAATCTTTATTGTAGATTTAAAATTGTAAAAAACAAAAAACAAAAGAAGAGCATTTCTGTTTGTATAGTTTATTTGATGAGCTTCTGATAGATCAGCACCATCTTCTCTTGTTACCTTAGCATAAGGATAATATAGGCTCTGGAAAGGAAAAAAAGAGGGAGGGGGAGAGAAAAAGCCAGCCCTGTAATATTAGCTTTGGAATGGAATGTAGTCAGCTTATTTTACATTAGAAAAATGACTAAGGTTCTTATCCTGTAATTAGTCCTATGCAGAAAGAGGACTAAAAGATCAGGGCTTCAGACACTCAACTTTTGAAAAGTGTTTTGAACAATTATGAAGCCATAAGATCAGAAGCAACTGCTTTATCAGTTACCTAAGAAAATAAGAACATTCAAGCAGTAAAAAGACCCAAGTCATAATAGCTATAACAAACAGCAGAATTTGAAGTTGGCTTGATAGCCTCATCATTCCATTTGAGACACTTTTTGCTGATATTAAGATAGAAATTGACAGTTTTACAATCGTAACTTTAATCAGGGAAATAAACTGCTTGTAATCTGAGCTAAAATGATAAATATTTATCAACATAAGCAGCAGTAAAAATATTGTGCATCATCTCATTATATTAGTTACTAATGAAATTTTATAGGACAAATTTTGAGGAGTCACAATTCTATTATGATGAGATTGAAGGAAATCTCTTTTTTCAGCATTACTCTGAGTATGCAAGTCCACTTTGTTGACTGTAAAACACATTATTTCCTTGCATCTTTCCCACAGGGGAAGGTCACGGGGAAGATGCCCACAAAACCTGGCAGTTGAACTCAGGACAGATAACATATGCAAAAATTGAGTGTTCGCTTTAAAATCTTGTGGTAAAACTTACTTGTGCTGACTTTGAACATTAGGCCACAGCACAATAAAACACTTTGATTAAAGATGAATTCTTAGAGAAAAGCCATATTACCAGCATAGCAGAAAGCCACTCATTTAAGAATTTTTACCTGTTGCTTCCATTTGTCAGCTCACTGAAACAAGAAAAAAACAAAACAGAAAATAATCAGTAAATGGTTTAAACACTCACATGGTCTTACTACCCTAGAAAATCCAGCCTGTTTGCTGTGGATGTGTTCTCAAGAGTGCTAATAGCACTGATGGTTATCATATTATTTTCGGTAACTTTCCTAACAAGTTAGCCCACTCCCAAAAAACACCCCACAGGGGAGGAGTGGCTTGCTTTAACTATCAGCACTGCGGGCTCTACTAGGTCCTGGAAAGTGAAAGGTGCACTCTGGATCACACATGCCTGCACCTTCAAGATATTCTGCAAATGGAAACCAGGCAATTCAATGCACGAACCAGAGAACAATTCAATTTTTCTTCTTAACCTCGTAGAGCCCATATAGCAAATCGAAGTCTACCTTGTCAAAGTTACAACCAGATATAACTTAACAAGGGGAAGGGAAGCAACTACAGTTTCCATTTTTACATGCTTCGTTTCTTGAGTGCATCTGCACTTGAGAAAATACAAGGATCTACATACATCCTAGGATTACACATAACAAAATAAAGTTATAGCAGCCTTAAAACCATGATCAAGCAAGTCCTGCACATTCAGAGCTACTGCAGTCAACTAGAGTGCCACATATGAAGGACTGGTCACCTGTGTCACCACAGCCCAAATTATGTTTAATGTTTGTATGCCAATAGCGAATGATATAGTAAGCACTACCCACATACAAAAAGCAGCTCCTGTCATGGACAACAATAATACAAGTAACATAGAAATGAAGGGTAGAAGGTTTAAGAAAAGGATAAGTCATAAAGACATTTCAAAAATGTATAGGAGAAATGGATCTTGAAAAGTTCCATGGGACAGTGGCTGCTCAGAGTATGGGGAAAAAAAGCCGATAAGGCTTCTTTTGAGAGTCTTCTGCTCTTCATTCGTTACAAACATCAGGGATCCATTTTCACAACTATACAACAGTGCTGAAAACACAAATGGCCAGTTAGGCCATTCATGTGCCTGTGTGGTGACTAGTTTACACGTTACAATAAAATCAAGCTACGGTAATATCTCAAAACATAATGAAAGCTGTGAATGTAAAAAAGCACTTAAATAAGATACAAGGAGAGCGGTTAGTGCCATTTTACTATAAAGGTATCTTTTTGGCACCCAGAGATGCGGTAGATTTATGTGCAGTACGGAAGAGTAAAAATAGTCATGCAACAATGCAAGGGAGATTCAGCTCAAATCTGTGAAAAGTAACGTAAAGAGGTTATTGTGGGTGCAACAGTCAAGCCAGGGAAAGTGAAAGCAAGCTATGGAAAGAGAAAAGCAAACAGTTACTTGCTTTGTGCCTTCGCCATTTAAAAGCAAGAATAAGACCATGTCCACATATGTCAGCAAAACTTGTTTCTTATCTGAATGATTTCACGTCACCATTATACTACTTAACATTCTTCAGCATAACAGCTCCGTGAGCCATCTTACTGCAGCACAGCTGTATCGGCACAGAAGTGCCACTATAAGACTGCAAGTACAGATGATGCAGAGAAACTAAGTGTAGCCACAGCCCTCCCCAAACTCCAGCCCTCATTGGCCAATCACACCTCATTGGCACCAGAGCCAAAAATTTACAATAACGGACACAATTCACCCCACTTTCAAGGGTAAGCTTCACATGTGAAAAATGGCAGCTTTTCCTTTGTCAGGAGTTTGCTTCTGTACAGCCACACCAGTGTCTACACCCTAGACTATTTCTCAGTGTTAACAACACTTTACAAAGGGTATTATGAAGACACAGACAAGCCAACTCAAGCCATCAAAAGCTAGAGAAAGCAGTGTGGTATAAACCGTATGTCCACAATAGGAAGGGCAAATGAAAGCAATTGAATGTGTACATGGATTTACATTTTCAGATACACTTAGCACAGAGTTCAGACATGCATCTTCAAAAAGAAAAGGTTAAGTATATACAAAGACATAACTGATTTAGCAACAACCATATTTCCACCAAGTTAAGATTACTACAAGTAACTAAATTTACTTATAGTAGCAACAACCATATTTCCACCAAGTTACAAGTAACTAAATTTACTTATAACTTCCTTAAGTTACCAGTTACAGTCAATTAAAGCGACTGCTCTGCTTTTTGTTCCTAAGAACTTATTAACCAAATGAAGGCATGGACATCTACTCCTACTCAACTCAGTGCCTTTCCTGTTATTCCTCCATCCACAAACCTTCTCAGAAATTATACAGAAATGCCACTAACGCTTCACTTTTTCCTAAAATTATTTCAAAGATTTTTAATGTCTACTTAAACTACATAAATTTCAAGTAACATAGTATACCTCAAACCGATCCTTTAATTGAGACGTTACATTCTTTAGAGCAGAGGCTGTTTGTTACATGTATTCATAACCTAGCAAAATGGGGACTTGATTCTGGCCTCTAGAGACACAACTATAATAATAAATACTGGCCATGTGTTTTATAAATTAGAAAGGATAATCAATATGGATTAGGCTGTTCAACTAGTCAGAAGTAGATCCTCTATGTATTTATAGCCCACAAGAACAATTCATAAGGTCCAAAGCCTGCTTCAACACAATACATTAAAGGCAGATTAATCAGTATTTTGACTTTGACATAATCTTAATCTAGTTGTGCATTCTTTACATTCAGTCCCATGCACATTTTCTACCATCTCAACACACATTTTAAGCACCAATTTCTTGGTTTTTAACTACACAGTATTGCACAAAAGCCTAAGTACAACCCGACATGGGCTAAACAAATTGTTTTTGTATGTATCCAAATAGGCTGCATGTCCCTCCTGTATAATAAGGTTGATCACCACTGCTCTAAGTGAAGGTCCCAAGCCAATTTTTAAGCTTTGGTCAGCCTCAAATGAGAACAAAATCGATTAGAACAATTATTTCACTTTCAAGGGTTATACACTATATCACTGAACTAGTCAGGCAGATTACACAACTGTCAACAAAGTAGCATTAAACTAATTATCCTATACTTTCCTACCTAGCCTGAAATAAGTTACAAGGACTGTGCTGATCATGAGGTATGAGATTATTTTTTGGAAACTCATGAGTTTAAATGGCAAAGTTTGAATTTCACAGTTGCCATGGAATGAATTTAGCCAGCAAACATCAAAATACATTGATTAAATTTGCAGATTACATTCCATCCTTGAAATTGACATTGCCTCACCTGCCTTGTGTGCAATTAAATTTGCAGATTACATTCCATCCTTGAAATTGACTACATTTGCACACAAGGCAGGTGAGGCAATCTCTTATTGGACCTGCTATTGGTGAAAGAGACAAGCTATCAAACTACAAACCACTAAGAACTCTTATTCAAGTGCATTCACTGATGTAGTTAATATTGCCAGGGCTTCCTCTTTATTACAGTGTTTAAATGAAAAGAAAAAAGCATCCAAATGAAGCCTCCATTTGAAATTCAAGATTCAAGCACTTGGATTCAGTCAGAATTGATACTATCAGAAAATTGATGCAAGATAGTAAGCGCATCTTTCATAAAATTGATTACAATGAGTAAGTAACCCAATAAAGAATTTGAACTACATAACAATTCATACCTTTAAAAGTTCAGGAATCCAGAGGCCAAAAAGTATTTATTCACACAATAGTTGCATGGGTATATGGTTATGGCATATGCACACCCCTTATGGCACTATGGCTTATATTTAAAAAAGCATGGTGCATTACTAATAAGCCCAAGTAACACATGCAGTTGTATTTTGAATACGGAGTTGTAAAAAAAAAAAAAAAAATTTGGGCCAATACTTTTCACTTCAATACATAATGTTGAGGCAGTATTCACCGGTATTTCATAATATGCACAAATATTTTGTGAGCTTGTCACGATGCACTGGGTGAACTTGGATGAGCAGTGACAGAAAACCAGATTTCATTTCTGCACCAGTTTTACTGTTAGCCACCCTTTATTTCTGTAGCAGTATTTAAATTTGTAGCATATTACCATATACTGAATGGCAGAAATGAACTCAAGTTCCATGTGAAAGCACAAGCATGCAAAGCAATACACAAGGTGTTTCTATTAAAATACATCTCAAGTGTCTAAGTGATCCATAATTCATACAGCCACCACCATATCCATGCTCATTCAGTACCTGCTAGTCACGTCATTTCTGATGAATTCCAAGAAAGTAAGAAAAGTTAAAGTAAAGGTTATTAAGATTGCAGAAAGGCTATTTGGTTATTTATAACACATTAGCAACTACAAACTATTTACTCGAAAATCAGCTTTTTCTATTACCCACCACCTTTACCACTGGAGCAGTGCTAAAAACTCTAAAACCGATTTTAAGTATGCCTTGCCTATTTTGTACCTCTAAAATCCTTTGAATAATGCTGTTCTGTCTTTAAACTTTAATTTCTGCACTGTAACAGTTTTTCATTCTGCTTGAAAACATTCCAAGGTCCCCTCCAACCTGTTTGTCGGGCTGGCTTTCCATCTTTCTGAAGGATTGACACAGCTCCCACCAGAGGTTGGGCAACTATGACTAAACAGGCAGAAGCAAACAGCAATCCCAGACAGACATCCTCCCCTCCTCTCAGTCTACAAATGGTGGAGGGCACTGCCTCAAACACATGGCTCCCAACTCCAAATTCCTTTGTGGCAGCATCAGGCTAGCTTGAGTTCTTGAGCATGGTGGAGCGGAGGCAATTTAACAAACAAAATTCGAGTCTGGAGAGACACTGTGTATTATTGGTGTTATCTAGTAGTAAAAGTGAGGTGTCACTTACTTTGATTGAAACAAAGCTCAGTTCTGTAAGGTTTCAAACTCAGATTAACTATAATAAATCTTCACATTACTGCTCAGTAGGAGCTTAGTTTCAAACTCATAGATTAACTATAATAAATCTTCACATTAAGCTCCTACTGAGCAGTCATCAGCTGAGCAAAACTACAGCACACCCATAAGAGTTAGGAACACCTCGGAAATGAAGGTTGTTATGAACATTTCAAAGATATGAACTCTAGTTATTGAAAGATTTGTAACTGAACACTGATTTATTACAGCTCTGAAACTTTCCTCTGCAGAGGAGAAATGCTGCTTTCCTTTTTAATAGTGTACATTTAACAGTACTGTATTTACACTTTAGTCTTTCCTGCTGCTGGACTACACACTTCTAGTTTCCAATGAAGTGTATTGTTAACTGATCAGTTTGTAACTTTGGTGTTCGTAACTCAAGGTTCTACTGTAAACTACTGAGGAGTTACAGCTACACAGGATCTCATAAGTTACCTTCTATTATCCAGTAGGAAAGGTAAAAAAAAGTTAGAGAAAGGGAAAGATTATTGTGTTGAGGAAGAAACCTGTCTACCAATGAAACAAACTCTAGTATCTACGCTCTCGCCTGCAAATGTCATCATACCTTCTTGCCAGCACCAACAGTTGCTTTAGCTGTGCCTCTGACTTTCTTCATTCTGTTCTTACGCTCCTTTCGCTGTTTTCTTGAAGTCTTCTTTTTTTCATACAAACCATGCTAGTAGTAAAAGAATTATGAACACAATTACTAAACAATATCTATAAAGTGCTTCTACTTTAAATATTTTACACATATCAAAAGCTTTAATCAAGTATGACTAATTTACCCCTAAAAAAAAAATTTCAATGTTCAACAAACAACTAAAACCTCACCTCAAGTTGCCTTACTTGTATTTTGTGATGACAATGCAGTTGAGTACATTTAAGAACATACTAAAAATCCACAACTGATTTAAAAAAACAACAACAACAAAAAACACTTCATTCTCCTTCATCTCCATTACTTCAAGAAGTTTGTTTGCCTCTGTAAATTCATGAATACAGAGAAGGGATTTTTATTTAGAGAGCTCACCTTTCGATCTCAATAAAAACCTAGAGGTAAGAGTTGAACTTAGCTTCAATATTTCATGTTTTTAAATCATAACTAAGCACATAAAATGCACTTTAGTACCAACAACCACCTTCTTGCCACTGTAAAAACTGCGAGCAAGAAATTTACCCGTGCCAGTCTGTGCTTTGGTTCATTCTTCTTTGCATAGTCCAGGGAATCATAAATCATGCCGAAGCCTGTTGTCTTGCCACCACCAAAATGGGTTCTGAAGCCGAAGACAAAAATTACATCTGGGGTTGTCTTGTACATTTTTGCCAGCTTTTCCCTGATTTCAGTTTTGGGAACTGTGGCCTTTCCAGGATGAAGAACATCAATCACCTACAGATGCAAGTTTTTCTCAGTTAGAAATATCCACAATTTATAAATGGTATAAACCACAGGCACCACCTTGGCAGGTGCTTGATCCCTTGACCTTGCCTCTGCCTCTTCTCCAAAGCCCCAACCCCACTTCTTCCAGCTCCCACTCTGCCTCTTCCCTCCCACAAAGGGGGGGAAGCTTGGCTACTAAGTACCTGCTTCATTTTTCTCTGTAAATGCTCCAGCCCCAAAGCACCCAGAGTCAGCACCTATGGTATAAATCCATGACGTCCAACACACTAGCCACATGTGGCTATTTGGCCGGTTGATTGTGGCCACTGCTTCACAACTGGTTGGACACCATGGGTATAAACATATTCCATTCATAATGATTATGTCTAAAGAGTCTTATAGCATATAATAAGGAAAATATCACTACCCACAGGTTGGCATCTACAGTTAACTCATCATAGCAACAATAGAGGCCAGCAATTCCTATTTGGTATATATTTCACTATAAAGAGGCTCAAAAAAATTCAGGGGTAAATGGTTATTCTTAAAGCGCACCATTTCTCCCACCACTTTACATCGTTATTGTTGCAGAGTTCTCAAACAGAAACTCTGTCTGTAAAACAAGTTAATGCAATCTTTAGAATTGAGGTCAGCATGAGAAATTTCAGCAACAATTACCATTTAGAGTTGCAAACCTAAATATGTCTTTTTGATCTAACAATTACAAATATATATCCTATAAATGCTCTTATTCTGTCTATTGTGTGTCTTAAAATAAATTATTCTAATTTTGCAAAAGTGTCAAGGAGTCCTGTAGCACCTTCTAGACTAACAGATGTATTGGAGCATAAGCTTTCGTGGGCAAAGACCCGCTTCGTCACATGCATCTGACAAAGCGGGTCTATGCCCACGAAAGCTTATGTTCCAATACATCTGTTAGTCTAGAAGGTGCTACAGGACTCCTTGACACTTTTGCAAAATTAGAATAATTTATTTTAAGACACACAATAGACAGAATAAGAGCATTTATAGGATATATACATATATGAGAGGATATATACATTTTGTAATTGGTCACGTTACTAGAACTTAAAATCACAAGGAAACAGTAACACGCATATCTCCATTCTCTGCATTTAAATTGCATCACATAACCAAGAATTTGGGATTATGGTCAGATAACTAATCCTAAAGTGAGGGGATAATTCCTTATAGATGTTTTCTGGTTTCACATACCACAAGCTTTCGCAGACAAATATAAAACTGGCTTGTATCATGAGGAAGATGTAACAGGGGATCTGACTTTCAAGAAAAACTAACTGAAGGTTGACAAGCTCATCAACTCACTAGCTATACAACTATTAACTAATGACCCAGGCACATTTTACTGCCGTGTTTCATATATGAAACATTACTCCCTATTAACTTCTTATTCTGAAGTAGAAAAGATTTAAAGCTCACCCCAGTTGGGCAACTAGTTTTTGGAAACTGAAAGAGATGAATGTATGTTAAAGATGCCTGGACATTCTGTCACGAATGGACTAAATCAAGTACCAATGGAGCACGCAGCTATGGACATAAACAAAGGGTGGCTTCGACATGCATTTTTGTTAGCCGATAAAAAGAATCATTCATGTTTTTCCTAGCATACTATTAGAAGATGGGTAGTTGAAAAAATAATATACCAAAGGCTGAATGAGGTTTTCATATGTAATACCCAATTACTGAAATCACTCTATACTGTTGCCCTTGGCTACTAGGAATGCTAAAACTGTTAACCAACTAAATGATTAACTGTTTTAACTTGAGTAGTGCTGCAACCATAGGGTACCCCCACTGGCCAGGTCTGCTCCACTCCAGCACAACTGGTTGGCAAAAAACAGTTAACTGGTAAGCATACCATTAAACCTCATGCTTAAGATCCCTAGTTTGTAACTTTTATTGGTCGGGTTTAACCATTTACTTAAATGGTTAAACTCCCTGGCCAGGAGCAGGGTTAGCCACAGGGCCAGCAGCCGGATCTGGGAGACAAGGAGAGCCTGCAGTGAGGGGCCGTGACCCTTCCTCCCAACAGCTACATCCCCTAAAATGTTTAACCCTGTAACTGATTAAAGTTAGTATTCTTCTATATTTTTACATCCCTATTACACACATAAGCTAAATAGAAAACACACATACCCAAGCATAAACAAATAAACAGAGGCAGAACACAATATTTCTTACCATCTGCTTCCGCTGAAGCAGTCTATTTGTCATGAACTTCCTGGTTCTGATAGTCACCGTGTCATTCTACAAGACAATTCAGAAAACCCATTAATATGCATTTGAGTTATTCCATGATCTTTTACACCAAAATGGCCCAATGACACAGCAGTTCAAATAATCTATCAGGCGGTTTGCAAAACGGATTAAAATCTGGGCCTGAAACTCATGGCAAGATGCTACTACTATCCAACACAACCTGTGGTAGGAGATCTATACCAACCACACAGAGAAAAAGCTGTCCCGATACTTATAGAAACAATTCAGGTTTGCAACCCACAGATCATGTCAAACACTTCACACCCACCAGTGTTTGTCCTCAAAAACTGGGAAACTGAACTAGGGTTATAGGAAACTGGGACACTTTCAAATCATGTTTGTTGCATGAACAGTTCAGATTTGACCCACACATAGAAGCAAGAATTTTTCATACCACACTAACTCAAACATGACACAAATGTAACAGACAGGTGGAGTCAAACCTGTGGAGTTTGGCACATGATACTCTACTGTATAAGCTAAAAGTCAGCCAGCTCTTAGCTAAGAATGTAGAGCAGACTCTCTACCTCTCTCCATGAGTGGTCTCTGTGCCACTACCCCTAGGTGGTGGGTTACACAAGGTAAACACAACCCTTAAACGTGAAACATAAGTGTATCCAACAAGTGCACAGGAAACGAGTTGTGTGTGAACCCGAACGCAGGTCGGGGGATGGGAGTAAGGGAGCTGACTACTAACTCGTGTGCTAGGATACAGAGGGAAACCATCAGTTGCCTAAGCACACCCGGCCAGCAGCTGCTCCTTATCCCAGCTCCTGCAGAGAGCAGGGTTTGGGGCAGAGACGCAACGGGATGCGAAATGGGACTGAGCGCACATGCAGGGGCGGTGCAGAGAACGTGAACACACGGACCCCACAGCGGCGGGAGCTGACTACTAACTCGTGTGCTAGGATACAGAGGGAAACCATCAGTTGCCTAAGCACACCCGGCCAGCAGCTGCTCCTTATCCCAGCTCCTGCAGAGAGCAGGGTTTGGGGCAGAGACGCAACGGGATGCGAAATGGGACTGAGCGCACATGCAGGGGCGGTGCAGAGAACGTGAACACACGGACCCCACAGCGGC